CGCCGGACCCCGTGGGCCGCGGCCCTGGCGTGCTGGGGTGCCAGGAGTTATCCGTTAACGGCACAGGCTCTGCCAGGCGTCGCGCAGCGGCGGCACTGCTATTTCCGTCCTTTATTTAAGTGAAAAAAGAGAGTATTTTGAGAGGGAGGTTTGTCCCGGTGCTGCAGGACGGGCACGATCCGGTGCCGACCGTCCGACCTCAGACCCCTTCCTGAATAACGGTTTTCTTCATTCTGGGCGAAGATAGACGTTTAGTAGAAAAAAGTGCATTTCAGACCAAATTCTGTAACGATACTGAGATTTCGGGTTTTGAAGTTTTTAACCAAGTAATTTGCAGAATTAGGCAACTCGGTGGAGCTTTAACGGTTAAATAATTGCTGTAACCATTAGAGTGGGTAAAGTCTGCTATGCTTGCGGTTCTGCTGAAAATACGGGTGTACTTTTTCCTTACCTGCTCTGTTTCTAAGACAAATGTACTTAATATTTGTAGGGAATTAATATGAGAGGAAATCGGTTCGGCCCACTGTCATTTCCTCCAGACAGCACTTATTTCAGAACAAGTCTATTTTCCTGTTGCGTACGTGGTCACAAAAAGCATGCAGCACCTTTTCTTCTTCTCACCAGAATCAAGAATTACGGTAAATCACTATGAAGATGGAATCATTCAGATGTATCTGTATAAATGCAAAGGTAGGTGAACCACCGTGGCACATAGCAGTGCCACAGCAGCACGGCTTGTCACTGCAGCTGAGACGATGCATGTACACAAGGCCAGCGTCTGTAGCAGCAATTCCCTCCAGCTGCTGCAGTGATAAAGCAGAATAGTAGAAGCCATCGCTGTTATTACACTATAAACTATAAATGTGGCTTCAGTATATCCGAAAGCTATTTCTATACTCTCAGACTAATCCTACGTGAATAGCTGTTTCTCGAACCACTTGTGCTGTATGAGGTCAGTGACATCGGTGGGCTCACCCGCACTGCCGTGTTTGTTTTCCTTGTAAATAAAAGCAGAAACTTGCCTAATGTGCATTGCATCTGCTTGGCTGTTGTATGCACATTGCCTGGCATTAACATGGCAGTAGTTCCCGACATTTGTGAGTCTGCAGGCAGTTCTCTTTTCATCTGCGGATGATTCAGAAATTGGTGCAGTGTATTTTCTTTGATACTCCTTCCTCAGTGATCCCTTTCAAAGCTTGCTTGCTTGTGCTTGCTACGGCAATTGAAAGGCAAAATTGTGACTACTGAAGCATCTCCTTTTATATCATCTGCCGGTTTGCATTTTGCAGTTGATTTCTGCACTGGGATATGATGGCAGATAATGTATGCAAGAAGTGCTGTACAGACGGAGGCTGTGATTGCAACTGGAGTCAGCCCATTCAGGGTCAAATACACTTGCACATGCTGGCTATCAGTGCCCGTTTTCATCTTCTCTAAGGGAAGCAAAGTCGCTACTGCTAGCTACAGAGATCTCCTGGCACAACTGACTTTCTGTCTTTGTGTCAGAGGTCAACTCCTTCATTTTTTTTCCCTTTCCGGTGTCATCTTCCAGATACCCTGTTTCAACCTTCTCCACGTTGAAGGTTGTTATATACTAACCAGCAGGTAGATTCACTGAGCTCTGGAGGCAGCTTCAGTAAGCTGCAGTAGCTTCAGAGCTATCCGTTTTGCTAACTGGGCGTCGGGGACTAATTCCTGCACGAAGAGGCATAAGCAGTGTAGTCACAAGCCAGGAGAGGACAGGACGAACAACTTTCTGCTATCTCATGATTCTAGGTTGCTTAATGCTTGGCTTTAATCTATCCGTTGCCCCATGGAAGTCATTAGGTCCTACTTAGAGACTATAAATGGAACAAGCGCTGAAGGTTACATGCTTAGTGTCCTGAAAACTTTGTCCCTGCAGGCACACAGCGTTTGCTGATCTGCAGAGTTAGGACCCCCTTGGTTGTAACAGTGAAATCTGCAGAGAAGGATTAAGAAGCGGTGGATGACCTTAAAAACTGGGGTAACGGGCTTGGTGAAGTAATGCAAAGTGCAAAATAAGGACTAATAACAGTATCTGCTGTACTTTTAGGTGAAAACTGAAGGGGAGGGTAAAATGAGCTCTGAGAGGTATCCTTGACTCACCAATGTGCTATGGCTGCAAGGAAAGCAAACGTAACACTAAGGTGTATCAAGTAGGGTATTTTCAGTGGTTCACATGGAAAGTTTCATTGACCCTTATGTATAATGTCATTTCAAATACAAACTACGGCTCTGGTCACTCCAATACAGGAAAGATGAATTCATATTCAAACTGGCAACCTAGTGTCAACAGGATAATTAAGGGGAGTGAAGAGTCTTTTCTGTTGCAGGTGATTAACAAGAGATTGGCTTGTTTAGCTTAGCAAAACAAAGCTTGAGAGGGGATCTTGTTTTCATCTATAAACAAAATAGGAGTGTAAAAATAGGCAGAGAAAGAAAAAAGAACCACTGTTTATGCGAAAGAACATTACTGATAAAGGAACATTTGGTGTAAAGTGGCCATAAATAAATGTAGATTGGGAATTAAAAGGGTTTTACTCGACAGAACAGTCCTTGTGAAAAGCTTCCCAACAGGAATTGGGAGGCATCAAAAACTGAAATCAGTTTTTAGATGGATGTTGGCTTGTGAAAGGGATTTTACGATGCAGTTACCTATAATAGCAAGGGACTGGTTCCTGTGCCCTTGCATTAATTTTCCACTACGGAGGTTTTTCACTTTCCCCCTCAAGAATCTGGGACTAGCCACTGTCAAGAGAAAGACTAATGAGCTAAAAGGACCACAGGTGCAATCCAAAATAGCATTGAATAGTCCTGTTACTTCAAATGTTTTAACACAGTGACTGTATAGAGTTGAGGGCGATTAACAGCTGTCAGGGGTGATGAATACCCCAAATTGCTCTTAATTCTAAATGGGAAAAGCTAAAAAACTCCCAGGCTGGAAAAGAATGAGTCACCGGTGCATGGATGCTCTCCCACTTTGAAGGGATTTTAAAAAAAAAAAGGCTATAACAGCATTCAAATGAATAAGCAAATTATAAGGTGCATTTGGAGTCATTTCAGTGCTGTTATATCAGGGATGAATGTGTCTCAGTGGTTTTAAAGCGAAGGCGGCACCCAACAT